TTTGCTGGGGGGGGGGGGGGGGGGAAAGGGCGGGAAGGGGGGGAAGGGGGGAAGGGGGGGAAGGGGGGGAAGGGGGAAAAGGGGGGGGAAGGGGGGGGGGAAGGGGGGGAAGGGGGGAAGGGGGGGAAGGGGGGAAGGGGGGGAAGGGGGGGAAGGGGGGAAGGGGGGAAGGGGGGGGGGGAAGGGGAAGGGGAAGGGGGAAGGGGGAAGGGGGAAGGGGGGGGGGAAAACCCCACAACCCCATATTTCAGAACCCTTCAAAGGAGGTGGGGGGCCATATTAAGGGAAAATGGAACTACTTTTGGATCAGCATCATCATCATCATCATCATCATCATCATCATCATCATTGAGGGTTTAGGGTTTAGGGTTTAGGGTTTAGGGTTGTTCGGGCGGACTCAACAGAACTGTCGCACGTGAAACAACTTCACCTCACTCGGTCGACCCGTGAATTAGGAGCAAAACCAACACCACTTTCCGGATGCTGCGGAGGGAGAAGGGGGGGGGGGGGGGGGGGGGGGGGGGAAGGTTGAAATGTCGAGTAAGAAGCCAGGCACAATCCAACAACTGTTGATTCACCAGCTGCTTGACCCTGCAAGAGATACTGCTGCGCACACTGCCACGGCTGCTGCGCAGGCAACTGCTACCGTGGCTATCAGTCAGCGCACAAACTCTGCAGGGCGTCCTCTCTTGCCCGCATGTTGGCTTTCCCCTTCAGGAATCCCCAGCGCAAGTTGGTGACGAAGTACTTCAAGAAGAGCGTGACGCTGACGATGCTGCATGTTTGAAAGACCTCAAAGTGCTTGACAGGGGCAGTGACACCAGCGCTCTGCCCAGCAGCTGAGCTGCAAAGCTAAAGCCGACAAAAGATAAACAAATGTAATGGAATACAGGACAGTAAAATTGGGGGCTTATGCAAGTAGGGGACCCCCTAGAGTAGACCCCCAAATAGTGTGGATTCCCTTATTCAAAAGGGACCCCAATAAGGTACCCCTGATTTCGGAAACCCCCAAGGTCATCGCACAGGAGGTACCAAGCCACCTCTCCAACGGTCGACATGTCCTCTGCAAGCCGCGGATTTCAAAGGGAAGGGCTGAAGCTTCTCTGGTGTTCAGAACCGCTGCTGTGAGCCGGCGCGACTGCTGGAGCTCTCTCATCTACTTGGGGGTCCCATTAGGGTTTAGGGTTTAGGGTTTAGGGTTTAGGGTTTAGGGTTTAGGGTTTAGGGCTGGGTTCTATGTACCGCGAATAAGGGTATCACCTCATTTCGAGCACGTAGAACCCTGCTTCTAAGTACCCGTGAACTTTCAGGTATTCACCGTAACAAGAGGGGTGGGTCAAAACGGCGGCCCATTTCTGGTGCCCGCAGCTCTAAGGAATACGTTACAAGAGCGGCCCCACGAGCCCATGATTTGATCAACCCCCCCCCCCCCACCAGGCACATATAGTCGTCCTAGATGGAACATGAGCAAAGCTCAATGAAGGAAGCAACCCTACACCCTAAACCCTAAACCCTAAACCCTAAACCCTAAACCCTACACCCTACACCCTAAACCCTAAACCCTAAACCCTAAACCCTAAACCCTAAACCCTAAACCCTCGGCGGTTTCTGCAAAAGCCTTAAAGCGAAATGACTATACAGTACTATACATGAGTTTTAAGGGGATGCTGGTAGCAACGTTCTAGGCGCTGGTATGAATTACTCTTCAATGGACCTGTTCTGTGAGGTGGCGTTGCTGCTTTAGGGTTTGGGGCTTACTTGTTAGGGCCCAAAACCATGAAACCTTAGAACTCTAAAGCCTAACCCCCCCCCCCTCCCCAACAAAAAACAACAAAAAAAACACAAGAAGCCCTAGAATCCCAGTAAACCCTAGAAACCCAACAAAACCCTAGAACCCCAAGAAACCCAATAAACCCAATAAACCCAATAAACCCAACAAAACCCTAGAACCCCAAGTAACCCAATAAACCCAATGAACCCTCGAAGGCCAATGCGCCCCAGAAACTCTGAAGCGGAAACCCTAACTAAGACCTATACCCAAAACCCTAAACCCTAGACCCTAAACCCTAAACCCTAAACCCTAAACCCTAAACCCTAAACCCTAAACCCCAAATCCTAAATCCTAAATCCTTCTTACCTGCCCGCATTGCTGGTGGCATCCATCAGTCACAGCTCCGGCCTAGACCAGAAGCAAATGGCTGCCCCAAGACTTGGGCATTTCCCCAAAATGGTGGGTTAAGGGTTCAGGGGTTAGGGTTTAGGGCTAGGGTTTAGGGTTCAGGGTTTAGGGTTTTGGGCTAGGGTTTAGGGTTCAGGGTTCAGGGTTTTGGGCTAGGGTTTAGGGTTCAGGGTTTAGGGTTTAGGGCTAGGGTTTAAAGGTTTAGGGTCTGGGGTCTCGGGCTAGGGTTGGTACCCTCTTTGGGGGTTCGTTCCTGCTGTAAGGACGACATCGTGTTTGCTTTTTCGGAGGGGTGGGGGGGGGGGGGGGTGTGGTATACTGAAGGGGGGCCCCATCTTGGGACTTGCCAAGATTAAACTTGAGCTATGAAAGGGAAACCGACATGGGCAGCTCCCCAAAGCATGGTCCTTCTTGCCCTAAACCCTAAACCCTAAACCCTAAACCCTAAACCCTAAACCCTAAACCCTAAAGCCTAAACCCTAAACCCAAAACCACCACGATTGGTCACCCAACTTTGGAGCGATTCACACTTGGAACCGGAACTCTGGCAAGCGCCGGCAGGCGCAGTCCGTAGGTCTCGCCAAAGCTCTATGGCCACACAGGGGGAAACCTTGGGCGTCTTCTGTGAAAGAGGCGGAGTGCTCTGCCCCTAAATCCTAAACCCTAAACCCTAAACCCTAAACCCTAAACCCCAAAGCCTAACCCTATGGAATCCTCAGGAGGCTTCCCCAAGAGCCAGGGCGTTCACTTGCTCGGCCCACTTTTCCCATGCCTTCGCTCGCGCTCTCCGGAGGGCTAAAGGGCCGGGCTCCAGGATGCTTGGTTTTGGGTTTTGGGTTTTGGGTTTTGGGTTTTGGGTTTTGGGTGTTGGGTGTTGGGTGTTGGGTGTTGGGTCTTGGTTTTTGGGTTTTGGGTTTTGGGTTTTTGGGCTTTGGGTTTTGGGTTTTGGGGTTAGGGCTTAGGGCTTAGGGCTTAAGGTTTAGGGTTTTGGGCTTAGGGCTTAGGGTTTGGGGCTTAGGGCTTAGGGTTTGCGGTGTAGGGTTTAGGGTTTAGGGTTTAGGGTCTAGGATTTAGGGCTTGGGGGCTTGATCTACAGCATGGGGTGGCTTGGAGCGGTCGGCCCAACGCCCCTCAACACCCCCAAAAGATAGAGCTTCTGTACAGAAACCCCCACACATCGAAATAGAGAGCGGCTCCGAAAACCATAAACCCTAAACCCCAAACCCCAAACCTTAATCCCTAAACCCCTAATACCTAAACCCCTAAACCCTCTCTATCATATGATCATTCAGACTTTAATGAATTCGTGGCTCGTGGCCAACTTTTCGTGGTTCATGGCCGATCGACATTTGTTCGTGGTTCATGGCCGATTTTTCGTGGTTCATGGCCAGTTTTCGTGGTTCAAGGCCACTTTTCGTGGTTCAAGGCCAGTTTTCGTGGTTCATCAATCGCGCTCAAGGCCTCTGTGAGAGCGGGTGCTTGGAGGTTTTGGCTTTATAGGTTTTGTGCTGCCCTCATACGCAGTGGTAGGCTTGTTCTGGACAACTTGTACATATGTGTCGGTATGTATGACTGTAGGGGAGCCCTTCTATTCTGGCCTGGGGTGTAGGGGTTTCCGGGCCTCAAGGTTTGGGTTTCAGCGCCTCAAGGCCTGGGGTTAGGGTTTCAGGGCCTCAAGGCCTGGAGTTTAGGGTTTCAGGCCCTCAAGGCCTGGGCCAACGCCTGGGGTTTGGGATTTCAGAGCCACAAGGTCTGGGTTTTAGAGATGCAATGGCAAGAAAATGAGGTTAACAAACATAGGTGCCTTCAGGCAGAGGCCTTTGAAACTGAGATGAATGGAGAACACTTTGTATTTCTGAATGCTATGGGATTCTCCGGGTGGCTGGGTGTTGTATCACAGCCGTACATATAACTTTACTATAAAACTGCTCGATCCAGAGCTGCTGAACCCTAAACCCTGAACCCTGAACCCAAACCCTGAACCCTGAACCCTGAACCCTAAACCCTAAACCCGAAACCCTAAACCCTAAACCCTAAACCCGAAACCCTAAACACCAGCCTGCCGGTTCGCCATGGACTTCCTGCGCCACGGCTTTAGGAGCTTCAAGGGTTCCGGGGTTTAGGGTTTGGGGTTTAGGGTTTGGGGTTTAGGGTTTAGGGGTTAGGGTTTGGGGTTCAGGGTTTAGGGTTTAGGGTTTGGGGTTTAGGGTTTAGGGTTTAGGGTTTAGGGTTTAGGGTTTAGGGTTTAGGGTTTAGGGTTTAGGGTTTAGGGTTTAGGGTTTAGGGTTTAGGGTTTAGGGTTTAGGGTTTAGGGTTTAGGGTTTAGGGTTTAGGGTTCGACTGAGAGGGACTTTCTGGCCCGCGGATGAGGATTGAAGTTAGGGCTTTCAGGGCTCTCAGCCGGCCCGACACTTCATGTGGTTTAGGGTTTAGGTTTAGGGTTTAGGGTTGAGGGTTTAGGGTTTAGGGTTTGGGGTTTGGGGTTTGGGGTTTGGGGTTTGGGATTTGGGATTTGGGGTTTGGGGTTTGGGGCTTAGGGTTTATGACAAGAGAAGCGCAATTTAGAACATACCTTGCACATCAGCAGACGGAGCCAACAAGGGGCCCTACCAAGTTGGTGCGGCCCTCTGAGGGAAGATTCCGTGAACCAGACATATTGAAGTTTTGGGGTTTAGGGTTTAGGGTTTAGAGTTGAGGGTTTAGGGTTTAGGGTTTACGGTTTATGGTTTAGGGTTTAGGGTTTAGGATCTAGGCTTTAGGGTTTAGGGTTAGGGTATCCGAATACAATGTCAAGGAAGACCCCAGCACTCCTTTAACGAAGGGGTCCTCTGCGGTTGAACTTAAGGGTCCACATTCTCGAAATGTGCTATGGAGCCTTCAGGAGCAATCCTCGCACAGAACTTGTGGGTTTTCCATCGAATTAAAGGTGTACTGTCCAGGGTTTTGGGTTCAATTAGGGCGCTTACTTGACCCTAAACCCGTAGACCTAAACCCTGAACCCCAAACCCTAAACTCAAGGCTTTGCAGCGCTGGGGGGGGGGGGGGGGGTTTAGGGTTTAGAGGAATTTAGGGCTTAGGGGGGTTAGGTTTTAGGGTTTAGGGGGTCTTGGGTTCAGGGCAACTATGCTGAACCCTGACGTTAAGCAAGAGTTCTGGGGCAGGATAAGGCCTGCTTGCAACCCCAGAAGCCCGAAACCCCCCATAAGGGCCCTGAACCCGAATACGGGCCTAGGGTTTGAAGTTTAGGGTTTGGGGCTTAGGGTTTAGGGTTTAGGGTTTAGGGGATAGGGTTTAGGGTTTAGGGTTTAGGGTTTAGGGTTTAGGGTTTAGGGTTTCATCCGCCGCACAAGAAGCAAGCCTGGGCTCGGTGGGCACAGGGGAGGGCCCTCGGCCGCCCCACCATTCCTGGCAGGCCTGGCGACAGCATCTTCTAGGGTTTAGGGCTGAGGGTTGAGGGTTTAGGGTTTAGGGTATAGGGTGGCAATGCAAAAATGTCCGAGCCTTCATGGTGAGGATGTGTTCATACTCGTCGTCTCGGATGTTTTGAAACACCTCCGAACCCATCAAGGTTTAGGGTTTAGGGCTTAGGGTTTAGGGTTTGGGGCTTGGGGCTTAGGGTTTAGGGTTTAGGGTTTAGGGTTTAGGGTTTAGGGTTTAGGGTTTAGGGTTTAGGGTTTCGGGTTTCGGGTTTAGGGACTCACGGCCAAGAAAGCGACGCAGTGTCAGATTCGATGCATCCGATTCCTTGCTTGGGGATCTTGGCTTCCACAGGCACATAAACCCCAAAGCCTAAACCCTAAACCCCAAACCCTGAATCCGAAGCCCTAAGATGGTCCAGCCGCACCTGCACCTGCTGCGTCTTCGTGGGGAATGAGGGAGCTTTGTATCCCCCTAATGTTGCCTTTCAAGGGATTCTCTTATGTGGTAGGGCTTAGGGCTTAGGGTTTAGGGCTTAGGGCTTGGGGTTTAGGGTTTAGGGTTGTGGGTTGAGGGTTCAGGGTTGAGGGTTTAGGGTTTCGGGTTAAACCCTAAACCCTAAACCCTAAATCCTAAACCCTGAACCCTAAACCCTAAACCTGCCGCTACCTCAAATTAGCCTTATTTAAGCAGGTTTCCGAATCCCGAAGTAACCTCAGGAATCATTGGCCCTATAAACCCTAAACCCCAAACCCTGAACCCTGAACCCTAAACCCTAAGCCCTAAACAAACCCGAAACCGCAAAAACCGAGGCCCTGACATCCAGCAAGTGCTCGCAGGGCGGCCGCCGCACCGCCTGGTATAAGGCTTAGGGTTTAGGGTTTAGGATTTAGGGTTTAGGGTTTAGGGTTTAGGGTGTAGGGTTCACCAATTCATCGCCAGACGAACTTTCTTTAGGGCTTGCGGGCGTTTGGGACAAAGAATAATAAAGGGAAAGGGTTTAGGGTTGAGGGCTTCGGGCATTTGGGATGTAGGCTACAGGGCTTTCTGGTCGGTCGAAAACGCGGCCAAAATTTAGAAGCTCGTGTTGCCGATCGTTTCGAGACAGTCCCTGCCGCACATGCAGCCAGAACCACAAACACATGTTTCAGTTGCTTCCCTGCATGATCCGCATGTGCGCGCAAACGCCGTCCAAAAGCCGTCGGTTGCGCAACAAGGGACATAGGACATCATAGGACGACACTCAGGTTGCCAGTCGGAAGCAAGCTCAGCTGGGTGAAACCATGCAGGTCAACTTTACAAAAGCACAAAAACACAAAGGGGGACCTTAAACCCTAAACCCTAAACCCTAAACCCTCATACGCTGGCGGAGTTTCAAGAGCGATTCCCCATCTGCATCAACAAGTCAACGGAGGCCTCCTGGGACTTCTTCGATGTTTGGAACATGTCCTTGGATCTTCAGCCCTTCTCGGTCCGAAAAAGATGCTCTCCCAAAAAGCGATGTTTTAAAGAGGACCGCGCGAAGTTGTACATGTTGCCAGTGACGTAGTACTGCACCGCGATCGGCGGAGGTGGAACCTGTGCTGGGCCACAAGCTATTGGGCAAGGAAGATGAGCAAGCAAGAGGCGACTCCGAGACCCGAGCCCGTCGTAAGAGCTCAGCGTTCTCGGCCGCAAAAACGGAGTAGGTGACGTATGCATGCTCCTGCGCGGCAGCGCAGGAGATCGCAGGTCTTGTTCAAAGCTTGCTCCGGTAGCCCGGTGGAATGTCGCCTTCTACTGGCCACCTCGCCCTTCGGCTATCTACGGATCTTTGCAAAGGAGCGTTTTCCGAGCTGCTGCTATCTTGTATGCAACTGCAAACATTCCCAACCTCCACCAGAAGCGAGAAGTTGTACCTGAGATGCATACTCACAGAGCCCTTTCACTTGGCGAGCTTGGTCAAATTCAAGCAAAGATGGCCGTCAAAGGCACTAAAACAACACCAGGATCTGGCAATGCCTCCGGATACCATCTGACGTCCCCAACAGAAAGCTGGCAAAAGTTCGCCCAAGCCGCGCATTCTCGGGACTGGCCATGAACAGGGCTGTCACGAGCCAGTAGTACAGCAATGCCTTCTCAAGACGAGCGCAACATCAAAGAGCACCCTAAGCCCTAAGCCCTAAACCCTAAACCCTCAACCCTAAACCTACAACATTTGAAAAGAAGGCTGTCTCTAACTACCTGAGGCTGAGGCAGCATGCTGTGCAGCAAAGCGGTCGAACCAGTTGCAATCCCCACCCAAAGCCTCTCCAGGCCGGGCTGCGGGGGCTTAGGGCCTTGGGTTTAGGGTTTGGGGTTTGGGGTTTAGGGTTTCGGGTCTAGGGTTTAGGGTTTAGGGTTTAGGGTTTAGGGTTTAGGGTTTAGGGTTTAGGGTTTAGGGTTTAGGGTTTAGGGTTTAGGGTTTAGGTTAAGGGCTTGGGTCGAGGGGGTTGAGGAGTTTCGGGATTGCTTTTTTTCTGGCGATGCAAAGTCCTGTGTCCCCTGTCCGTGGGCTGCTCCTTCCACCCTAAACCCTAAACCCTAAACCCTTAACCCTAAACCCTAAACCCTGAGAGAGCCCTGAGAGAGACAAGTGTGGCCACCGCCTCCATGATGAGCAGATGATGAAGCTCGTTGTCCTGACAGTTTTCGGCCGCCACGCTGCGCAAAACGGGCGGATCAACAAAGACATGCCGCCTCCTGCAACGCAATTCTGACTGCATCTCATCGCCACCCTAAACCCCAAACCCTAAACCCCTAAACCCTGAACCCCAAACCCTAAACCCCAAACCCTAAACCCCCTAAACCCTAAACCCCAAACCATAAACCCTAAACCCCGAAAGTCCTCCTCTGCGGAGTGGATGTGGCGAATGTCTGGCGATCTCCACCAACCTGTTTCTGCTCGAAATTCGGGGGAAGGGGGGGAAGGGGGGGGGGGGGGGGGGGGGGGGGGGGGGGGGGGGGCCCGATTTTGTGGGGGTTTAGGGTTTAGGGTTTAGGGTTTAGGGTTTAGGGTTCAGGGTTCAGGGTTCAGGGTTCAGGGCTCAAAGGAAGTCCATGTGGCAAGACCTCTTCGGGCAGGGATCGTAGCTTCGTTCACCTCTGGGCCCGGCACCCAAGGACTCGTAAAGGTGCAGCACCTGTCAGGGTTTTGGGTTTAGGGTTTTAGGGTTTAGGGTTTAGGGTTTAGGGTTTAGGGTTTAGGGTTTAGGGTTTAGGATTTAGGGTTGAGGGTTGAGGGTTGAGGGCTTAGGGTTGAGGGTTTCGGGGTTTAGCAGTTCAGGGTTCAGGGTTTAGGGTTTAAGGTCAACTTCTTCACGCAGACAACTGAAGTTTAGCGTCTGGGGTTTGGGGGGTTCAGGGGTTTACGGTTTCGGGGTTTCGGGTTTGGGGGTTTTGGGGTTGAGGGCTTAGGGTTTTGGGTTTTGGGTTTCAAAAAGGGTTTAAGATTCTCTTGGCCTTCACCGAAACACCCCAGTACCAAAACCCCCATTCGGCAAAACCCCTATTCTCTACTAGTTGCAATGGAAGTTGGACTATGTCGTCTTGGGGCGAGGGGAGCTAATTATGTGGAACCCGAAGAAGAGAAACCCAAAGAATGTGATGGGCACACTTTGCGGGTAGACTCTTGGAGGTTCCTATCCCATTTTTATGGATGGCTTCAGCAAGTCAGACACCCTCAACTACCAATTGCTCAAGAACACCCAAAAAAATCTAAGCACCTTCTTCCTTATAAGGGGAATATAGGGCTTCTTGGGGGGATTCTTAAGCAGATAGTAGTCTACCTTACACATAACCAACAAAGATCCTTGAGGTCCTGGCGGTGATGTAGGAAAAGTACGGGATCCGCGCAACCGTCTCCAAGACCTGAGAGCACTAGGCAGGGGCAAGATCCACAGGGATAAAGCTTTCAATGTCGTTGTGTCGGTTTTAGGGTTTGTAGGGCATTGTAGGGTAAACCCTAAAACCTAAAACCCCCCTATAAACCCTAAGACCTAAACCCCTTTTCTTATCAAGGGCCCAAGGAGTGACGTAGCAGGCAAGGCATCTTCTTTTGCTCGCCTAGGGCGATCGAGGCATGCAACGGCCAGGCAATTCCTGGCTTTCCCAGGGGCTCGCATACCTCTTGCTGAAGGAAGATTCCTTAAATCACAATAGGATCCCTACTAATCCTGAGGGAATACTCCTAAACCCTAAACCCTCAACCCTAAACCCGAAACCCGAAACCCCAATTCGGGGATGTCGATGGATGTCGTAGTCCCTGGGTAGAACGTGCAGCGGAGAAGGCCGGGAGTGTCCCGAGACCCGGGAAGCAGGGAGTCCACGACGCCTTCCCGCGGGCGCGAAAATCAAAACCTGGTGGCCGACCTTGACACAAAGGTTTAGGGTTTAGGGTTTAGGGTTTAAGGTTTATAAGGTTTAGGGTTTAGGGTCTAGGGTTTAGGTTTAAGGGTTTAGGGCTTAGGGTTGAGGTTTGCGGGTTTAGGGCTTTCGCGCTTGTGCAAGGTTCAAGCCAGGGTCGGTATCTGAACGGCACAAAACTCACAAGCGGCCCCTTCGGGGACGTGGGCGCAGCGCTGCGGCCGGCACGCGACACCCTGTTGCGTTGAAAAAAGCCCTAAACCCTAAACCCTAAACCCTAAACCCTAAACCCTGAACCCTGAACCCTGAACCCTGAACCCTGAACCCTACACCCTAAACCCTAAACCCTAAACCCTATCCAACCTGCAGCAGCCGCACTGCTCGTTCAGGCGATGCAGGCTCGAATTCTTTGATGGACAATCAGCGGCACCATCACGACGCGAATGTCATCCTTTTAGGGTTTAGGGTTTAGGGTTTAGGGTTTAGGGTTTAGGGTTTAGGGTTTAGGGTTTAGGGTTTAGGGTTTAGGGTTTAGGGTTTAGGGTTAGGGTTTAGGGTTTAGGGTTTAGGGTTTAGGGTTTAGGGTTTAGGGTTTAGGGTTTTGGGTTTGGGGTTTGGGGTTTGGGGTTTAGGGTTTAGGGTTTAGGGTTTAGGGTTTAGGGTTTAGGGCTTTAGCTTAGAGTAGACCAGGTTCTGCGCCGAAAGATGTGGGCGGCTCCATGCTTCGTTTTAGCACAACCTGGATAAACCCGAAACCCTAAATGCTAAACCCTAAACCCTAAACCCTAAACCCTAAACCCGAAAGCCTGAGCCAGTAGCTCAGGTGCAGGTTCCCTTTCCGTCATGCGGGCATTTTCCCCCAAATTAGGGGTTCTCAGAGTACCCTAAACCCTAAACCCTAAACCCTAAACCCTAAACCCTGAACCCGCAAGGTACTGGAGTCCTAGTTATTGGAACCCGTGTTTCGGAACAAAAGCTTCGACTGCTGGGGCGGTGCGGCATTTAGGGCTTCGAAACCCGTCAATCCCCTAAAGCTTAGACCCTAAACCCTAAAAAACCATCAAACCCTAATTCCAAAAAAAACTAAACCCGAAACCCTAATACTCGAAAACCCGAATAACCCTCAAATCGTAAAACACGAAGCCCTGAAATGCTAAAACCCTGAACCCTAAACATCCTCAAGACTGAACCCTAGAAGCCGAAAATCTTAAACGCCCTAAAGCCTAAGAACCCCCCAGATCCTCAAGTCCCAAAAGCCCTAAAGTCTGAAACCCTCGAACCCGAAACCCTGAAACCCTGGAACCCGGAAACCGGGAGGGAGCCTGATGTCACGATCTCTTCTCATCCATGGATGCCGAGCAACCACGGGTACCATTTTGGGCGGAATTGGTTACTCTGTAGGGATTCAGATGAGGGCATTGACAGCCTCCAACTTTCGGGTCCAGGGCCTGTAGGGTTTAGGGGTTAAACCCTAAACCCTAAACCCTAAACCCTAAACCCTAAACCCTGAACCCTAAACCCCAAAACCAACCGCTTTCAAAGCACAAAGCCCCTCAAGAAAGCCCTATACGAGGGCACCCTGAGGCCTTCAACTCTCTGAGGTCCCTTCATATGGGCCCTTGGTATTGGACCCCGTACATCCCTAAACCCTAAACCCTAAACCCTAAACCCTAAACCCTAAAACCTAAAACCTAAACCCCAAACCCTAAACCCTAAACCCCTTGTACACGCCTTATATGATATACCCCATAACCCCAAGGCCCATGTAGCTTCCCTGAGAAACACATGCCGGTCGGACGCTGCGTCCCACTCAGAGCTGGCCTGGGTTGTACCCAGAGACTCCAAAACCCCTGAATTAAGAAATAGACCTTAAATCATATTAGGGTTCCTATTATAACCTAAGGTATATTCCTTAACTAAGGGGTTTTGGAGTCTCTGGGTAAGAAGAAGCCCTGCAACACAGGCGCACACAGCAGGGAGGGGAGGCCCCTGGGCACGATGTGCACCCGAACAACAACGCCAGACCCGCGCCGGCAGAGACGACGCACACAACAGCGGGAGGAGGAACAGCCCCAGCCAGCCAATCAGGTTTAGGGTTTAGGGTTTGGGGTTTGGGTTTAGGGTTTAGGGTTTAGGGTTTAGGGTTTAGGGTTTAGGGTTTAGGGTTTAGGGTTTAGGGTTTAGGGTTTAGGGTTTAGGGTTTAGGGTTTAGGGTTTAGGGTTTAGGGTTTAGGGTTTAGGGTTTAGGGCTTAGGGTTTAGGGAGACCAGGGGCGCGGAACAAGCCCACGCAACAGGACAAACGGAGCCGGAAGATGCGCGGGAGCAAATTTGGGAGCCCAAGCACATGCGGAGGTGAGCAGTTCTTCCGAATCAGCAAGTGGGTTTTTGAAAGGCCCCCGGAACCCTAAACCCTAAACCCTAAACCCTAAGCCCTAAGCCCGAAGCTCCTAAGCCCCTAATCCCCTAAGACCCGAAGCTCCCAAGCCCCTCCAACCCGAAACCCTGACATAAAGAACGACAGAGAGAACACCCTTCTTGGAGGCTCCTATAGTAAGGAGTATGATTCTGCTAGGTTGGGGTATACATTCCGGGGAACCCTACTAAACACTAAACCCTAAACCCTAAACCCTAACCCTAAAACTTAATCCCTAAATCCTACACCCTAAACCCTAAAAACCTAAACCTCCATGCTAAACCCTCAACCCTAAACCCTAAACCCTCAACCCTAAACCCTAAGCCCTAAGCCCTAAGCCCTAACCCCTAAACCCTAAACCCTAAACCCTCAACCCTAAACCCCAAACCAAACCCAGACCCTGTGCCCCTGGCCGGCGCGGGGACGTCGCCTTCGGGGCGCTGAGGGGGCGCTGGGCACCTGGTGGCCCACAACGTCAAGGGCGTCGGAGGGTGGGTTTAGGGTTTAGGGTTTAGGGTTTAGGGTTCAGGGTTCAGGGTTCAGGGTTTAGGGTTTAGGGTTTAGGGTTTAGGGTTTAGGGTTTAGGGTTTAGGGTTTAGGGTTTAGGGTTTAGGGTTTAGGGTTTAGGGTTTAGGGTTTAGGGTTTAGGGTTTAGGGTTTAGGGGATAGGGGAGGGAAAGCCGAGGCTATTTGACGATACCTACCAAGGCACCGGGTTCTCACGTGGGGCACATGCACTCGGAAATGGCAAGTTTCCGAAGGCTCTACTGCGGTTTAGGATTTAGGGTTTAGGGTTCAGGGTTCAGGGTTGAGGGTTGAGGGTTTAGAAATTTAGGGTTTAAGGTTTAGGGTTTAGGGTGTAGGTGGACGTTTGTGTGGCTGGCATGGCTTCCGTGCTGCTACATCGCCCTGGTCGTGCTGAACAGTTATATGGCCGAAGCTCCAGTCCTCACTGTGCCATCTCTCCACGAAACAATGGGGCCAGGCATGATTTAAGTTCCTTAACAGCAACCCAACTAGTCACAGTGGGGCTGGACGGCAGTTTCAGGCCCTAAACCCTCAACCATAAACCCTGAACCCTCAACCCTCAAAACCCCAAACCCTAAACCCTAAACCCTAAACCCAAACCCCCAAACTCAGGCTGGAACGTAGCCGCCGGAGAGATCATCCAATCCGAAGGGGTCGCTGGCTACCGATGGCTTCGGAGCGCTGCCAGGATCATCCTCTCTGGGACTTTAAGGGGAAAACTGTATATCTGGGGCTTGGGGCTTGGGGCTTGGGGCTTAGGGCTTAGGGCTTAGGGCTTAGGGTTTAGGGTTTAGGGTTTAAGTTTAGGGTTCAGGGCCTTTCTAAAACCTTTGAGAAATATGCCTAAACAGGATCCTCATCAACCCAGCAAGGGGCAACGTAACATAAACCAAGAGCCTAGGTAGATGTCCATCCAATTCCCATGTGTCCCTATCATGGTAACTTCAGCGAACTTCCTTAAATCGCAACACGGCAACCCTGTCCTGCATCTTGAGCCCTGCAGTCGGTCCCATGTGCAAAGCATTCCCCGCGTTCCCGAACACAGCGTTGTCCTGCGAGACGCCATTGGCAGCCGAAGGGTTCCACCTTCCGTCAAGGGGCCCCTGACCTGCACCGTCCGGACTCACAGCGCTCTTTGGGATGCCTGCGCTGGTGGGCCCGTCGTCGCCTTGCAGCATGCTCCTGAAATCGGGCGGTCTCATCCGCCTGCCCCCTCCGCCACCGACATGTCCCACGTGCTCAGGGGCGCTTGATGCATCATCTCCAGGGTTTGCCAGACTCAAAGGTTGCCGGCTGTCAGGTTGGAGCGCAGAGCCGTTTGGGATACCTGCCACAGATCCCAGAGGATTTGGCTGCATCTGCCCGCCCGGTGCGAAAGGGCTGCTGCCGCTGCCGGCCACGTCGAGTCCACCAACACCCGCACCAGCAGCCGGGGCCATGGAAGGCATCGCCACATTTGCAGGCACACCAGCGGGTTCGTCGCCTTGTAGAATGCTCCTGAAATCGGGTGGTCTCATCCGCCTGCCTCCACCTAGACCTCCGCCACCCAAATTCCCTCCCAACGCAGGGCCGGGAACGTTGGCCGCACCGACGGCAGGGTTCATCGGATTGGCCGGCAAGCTACTGTCTTGCCCCAAGGCACTAGTCGGACCAGCCAGAAATCCCTGTGCTGGCGGAGGAACGCTGGTGGCGCTAGAGGCAATCTCAACTCCATTGACACCGGAGACACCTGCACCCACAGCCTGGGCGGGGCTGCTGGAAGGCATCATCACATTCGCAGACGCGCCGCTGGTGGGTCCGTCGTCGCCTTGCAGCATGCTCCTGAAATCGGGCGGTCTCATCCGCCTGCCCCCTCCGCCACCGACATGTCCCACGTGCTCAGGGGCGCTTGATGCATCATCTCCAGGGTTTGCCAGACTCAAAGGTTGCCGGCTGTCAGGTTGGAGCGCAGAGCCGTTTGGGGTACCTGCCACAGATCCCAGAGGATTTGGCTGCATCTGCCCGCCCGGTGCGAAAGGGCTGCTGCCGCTGCCGGCCACGTCGAGTCCACCAACACCCGCACCAGCAGCCGGGGCCATGGAAGGCATCGCCACATTTGCAGACACACCAGCGGGTTCGTCGCCTTGTAGAATGCTCCTGAAATCGGGTGGTCTCATCCGCCTGCCTCCACCTAGACCTCCGCCACCCAAATTCCCTCCCAACGCAGGGCCGGGAACGTTGGCCGCACCGACGGCAGGGTTCATCGGATTGGCCGGCAAGCTACTGTCCCCCAAGGCACTAGTCGGACCAGCCAGAAATCCCTGTGCTGGCGGAGGAACGCTGGTGGCGCTAGAGGCAATCTCAACTCCATTGACACCGGAGACACCTGCATCAGCCTGAGCCGGGCTGCTGGAAAGCATCACATTCGCAGACGCGCCGCCGGCGGGTCCGCCGTCGCCTTGCAGCATGCTCCTGAAATCTGGGGGTCTCATCTGCATGCCGCCACCGAGACCACCTACGCCGCCGACATGTCCATTCTGTCCCAGAAAGTTGGAACTTGGGTTGATCGGATTTGGGCCGACTCCAGCTACCACTGATCCAGTGGCCGGATGAGCTTGCCCACCCTGTGAGAAGCCACTGCCGATCTCGGCTTCAAGCGCACCAACCGGAGGGGTAGCCTGCACTGCACTCGCAGCGGCTGCATCACCTTGCAGAATGCTCCTGAAGTCTGGTAGTTTCACGGGGTTTTGGGGGGTCAGGATAGCGGCCGGCACTGAAGACTGCTCGGGTTCAGCACGTGCAGCATCCGGGGCTGCAGATTGCACCTCCGCACCTGCGGCCGCAGCGGCCGCAGAGCCTTCAGCTGCCCGATCTTCGCTCGACCTTTCTTGTGAGCTTCCGGCAGGGTTGTCATCTGCATTCGCGACGCGCTCCGTCTCACAGCTCGTGCCGGGAATCTCTTGGCCTTTGGGCGACAGGTGACAGAAAGATGTGCAGACGAATGGAGCAAGGCTGTCAGACAACTGTCTACTCTTTTGTTGGAGCACGGAGAAAGTCCGCTCCAAGAGGACATGTAAGGGTTTACGATACTATACCCCTAGGTACCCTAAAACCTAAACCCTAAACCCCCTAATTTCGGAAACCCCCACATGCTTCCGGAACCACTGATGCGTCGGAGCAGCCATAGCTTCGTGAGGTTGCCTGCAACAGCCCCCGGAACTGTCTGGTTTAGGGCTTAGGGTTTAGGGTTTAGTTTAGGGTTTAGGGTTTAGGGTTTAGGGTTTAGGGTTTAGGGTTTAGGGTTTAGGGTTTAGGGTTTAGGGTTTAGGGTTTAGGGTTTAGGGTTTAGGGTTTCGGGTTTCGGGTTTAGGGTTTAGGGTTTAGGGTTTAGGGTTTAGGGTTTAGGGTTTAGGGTTTAGGGTTTAGGGTTTAGGGTTTAGGGTTTAGGGTTTAGGGTTTAGGGTTTAGGGTTTAGGGTTTAGGGTTTAGGGTTTAGGGTTTCGAGCTTCGGGCTTTTTCTGGTAGCATTCATCCATTGACTGGTTTGCGCCAGTCATGTGCAGACCCTCCTTTCCACAAAGGGCAGAACAGGAACCCAAAAGCAGCCTCCTGGTTAGGCACGCGCGTCTTCGCATGCTGCTGCCACGCGAATGCCTCACATCTGCGACTGAGGCCGGACGAATTCCAAACCCTGGGAACTCATAACTGCTTCTACTTTGTTTGTGGCAGCCTCTGAGCCTCCTGATGACTCTACCCCATGCAGCAGTACTTGCAGGTTCATGGGTACTTGTAAGTAGGGTTAGAAGTACCCTACATCGGGTGATAACCATAGTTGCCCAGCCTATATTGTACGTACCCATAAACCTCCAAGTAGCCCTTAACCCTAAACCCTAAACCCTAAACCCTAAACCCTAGACCCTAAACCCTAAGCCCTAAGCCCTAAGCCCTAAACCCTAAACCCTAAACCCTAACCCTAAACCCTAAACCCTAAACCCTACTGACAAAAACCCATGAACCTCCAAGTAATCACTAGCAGTCTCCAAAGAGTTCCGCCGGGGGTCTCTCTCTGCTCCATCCCAATCCTCCAGGGGGCAATTTCAGGGTGACGGCCGGGGAGCTGCAAGCAGTTTAGGGTTTAGGGCTTCGGGTTTAGGGTTTAGGGTTTTGGGTTTAGGGTTCAGGGTTTAGGGTCAGGGCTGAGGATTAGGGCTTAGGGCTAGGGTTTGAGGTGGTTCGGCGAGTGAGGACAAAACATCACATAAGGTGCAGGGAAAACCCAGGTTTTAGGATTTAGGGTTTAGGGTTTAGGGTCTAGGGTTCGAAAGATCCTCTAATCCGAGCATCTGTTTCATTAACACATTTAAAGACATTTGTTTCGTCGAGAATCCCGCTGGAAGACTACTTTCCGTTATGGGGGTTTTCGTAAGGGCCAATACCACCACATTGACAGAAACTTTTTCGGGGGGGTTCAAAATCTGTCGGCAGGCTTCTTTTTTTGCTTGCTAAGCTGCAGTTTGGATCGGTGAAACCTATTGTTAAATAGAATCAATACATTGCCATGGTTTTGTTATTGTGGCGCCCTGCCTTTCTTATGGCGGTGGGGGGGGGGGGGGGGGGGGGGCCACCCACTAAACAGATGCTCGGATTAATCCTTAAGAGAGGGCTCAACTCACTCAAGGGTCTTCAATAGGATTGAAGACCGTTGACTGCACCCTCACAAAACAAAGCGGGCCGGGGGGGGGGGGGGGGGGGGGCGAAAGCCTAAACCCTAAACCCGAAACCCGAAACCCGAAACCCTAAACCCTAAAACTCCCTACCTGCAGCAGCATTTGCTCCAGCTTCCGCTCGAAGCCACGCCGGGAGGGGTTCTGCCTGCACGGTTGTAGCAGCTGGATATGTTGAGGGTTTAGGGGTTAGGGTTTAGGGTTTAGGGTTTAGGGTTTAGGGCTAGGGTTTAGGGTTTAGGGTTTAGGGTTTAGGGCTGAGGGCTGAGGGCTGAGGGATTTGGACTCCGTGGTGCGCGCAGCCTGGGCCTGGAATGGAGCGTAAAGTTGCAGCACTCGCATGCTCAAAAGATCTTCAGCCCTTAAACCCTAAACCCTAAACCCTCCATACTCTCAAACTGGGATTGTCCCCACAGTCCTTGATAGGGATTAATATAGAGGGGTAGTTACTACAATCCCTATTAAGGACTGTTAGTGCAAGGCTGAACATCCACCTCAAACCCTGTTTCCCTACACCCTCAACCCCTAAATCGCCTATAGCTCGGCTGCAAGATCCATACTCACAGCGCCCTCAACGCTAACCCCGAAACCCTAAACCCCTAAACCCGAAACCCGAAACCCTAAACCCTAAACCCTTAACCCTAAACCCTAAACCCTAAACAACCCCCGAAGCGCCTGAGGTCCTGCCCCGGCAGCGGCTGCAGCGGGAAGCGCTGCCGCAGTTGAAGCAGCCGGCGGTGCTTCTGAAAGTCTCCTGAGTTTAGAGTTTAGGGTTTAGGGTTTAGGGTTTAGGGTTTAGGGCTTAGGGTTTAGGGTTTAGGGTTTAGGGTTTAGGGTTTAGGGTTTAGGGTTTAGGGTTTAGGGTTTAGGGTTTAGGGTTTAGGGTTTAGGGTTTAGGTGCGACATTAGGGCTTGGGGTTTGGGGTTTAGGGTTTAGGGTTTAGTTCAGGGGGTGTTTAGGGGTTAGGGGTTTAGGGGTTCAGGGGTTTAGGGTTTTGGGTTTAGGGGTTTCGGGGGGTTTACGGGGTTTTTTAGGGGGTTGAGGGGGTTTAGGGGGGTTTAGGGGGTTTAGGGGTTTAGGGGTTTAGGGGGGGGTGGGGTTTAGGTGTAGGGGTTTAGGGATTTAGGGGTCTGGGTCCTCGGGGTTTTTTAGGGTTTATGGGTTTAGGGGTTTGGGGGTTTAGGGGTTTAGGGTTTAGGGGTTTAGGGGTTTAGGGGTTAGGGGTTTAGGGGTTTAGGGGTTTAGGGGTTTAGGGGTTTAGGGGTTTAGGGGTTTGGGGGTTTAGGGGTTTAGGGGTTTAGGGGTGTAGGGGTTTAGGGGTTTAGGGGTTAGGGGTTTAGGGGTTTAGGGGTTTAGGGGTTTAGGGGTTTAGGGGTGTAGGGGTGTAGGGGTGTAGAGGTTTGGAGTTTAGGGATGTTGGGGTTCGAGAGGGCTTCGGACTCGCTCATCCGAAGGCAACTTGTAAAGTTAGTACCAGCTGCATGACGTCGCGAATTTGGGATTCTTGTGAAAAAAAACCTTAAGACGGTCCCATAGGGTCATTATAGAGCTATTGTCCTCTTTGGTAGCAGAACTTTTGGTTCCATTATGGGAGCCCACACAAGCAGGGACCCTTTCCAAACCCGTCGAACGCGATTTCCGAGGAACTCTCTTGCTTCTCGCGGTGCACAGACGGCTTGATGTTGTCCAAACGCCGGTAGTGCTGAAGAACCTGCAGCACTCCAGGTGACACATACTTACAGTGTATTCTACTCTTGCTATCACTATAGTGGATAGTATTCTTTTTTAGTGCATTCTAGTACGATGACAGCGTAGTATCTACATATTATGACGCCGTCTTTCAATCACAGCAACATTGATGAATCACGGCACCTTACGCTGGGTCTCGAAATCTGCTGCACATCGGTGTAGCACAGCATGGCCTCCTGTCGTCGGTTTGGGGTTTAAGGTCTGGGGATTAGTGTGTAGGGTTTGGGGTTTAGGGCTTAGGGTGTAGGGTTTAGGGTTTAGGGTTTAGGGTTTGGGGTTTGGGGTTTAGGGTTTAGGGTTTAGGGTTTAGGGCTTAGGGCTTAGGGCAGCTCATCTTATCCCCAGACCCCTGGGATGACGTATGCTACTATTGGGCCATTCTTCGGAACCCTTAAGAGGATCTACTTTTTTGCATCCTCCGAGGGTCAGATCTTAGGGGGCAACGGAACTGCGTGTGGGAATGGAGCTACAGGGAGCCCTCCTGGCTCTATCAACCCTAAACCCTAAACCCTAAACCCTAAAACCTAAACCCTAAACCCTAAACCCTAAACCCTAAATCAAGTGCTGCCATGCGAGCTGCTCACCATGTCTCCGCAGAAACCAACCCTGAATCGACTCTCAAAGA